TCTTGTTAACAGTTTAGCCCACCGTGAGAGCGCTTTGGGTGTTTTTAAGATCTGAGGCATTTGCCCTATCTTCTACTCAAAAGCACACGGACCCTTCCAGCAGCTGATGTTGTCCCCCAACCTACAAACAAGCCAGCAGCCCGACCACCACTGCCATCGAGCCCGTTCTCTCCAGGACCTGACGTGGGGTCTGTCCTCGTGAATCTTTACTGGAGCTAACAGCCTTGTTTTCCTCCCCAGGAGGGACGGGTGGGTCCGGAGATTAGCAGCTCAATACATGTGCCACAGTGCCACCAGGGCTCAGGGGCTTTGTAGTCAGCGTTCAATGTCACCCTTTCTCCCCAGAGCCTGTATTTGCGCTTGGTCATGTTATCTGTTCTCTTAATGTTTGCCAAATCCCTTTCCATCCACACAAGTGATACAGTAATGTGCCTATTTCCAAGCCTGATATCTAGTTTCCCAGTTTCCTTTAGCCTTCTGCCTGGTTTTCTGGATCGCTAAACTAACACTACACTGGATAGTTGACAATATTTTCCTGTTCTGCTACTTATTTTTTCCTTCACCTACAGGAATGGTTTTTTTCCTTTCAAAGTACACTATTCCTCTGATAGTTCCTCTTTACTTTCTGTCCACCTTTTAGTCCAAGAGTCTGGAGTTTGGGAGTAAATGCAGACAAGGTGGGGTGGGGAGAAGGTGGCAAGGCGGGACGTGGGACTTTCTCACTTCCCGGTGCAGCTATATGGGAAAGAACTACTGCTGTATATTATTGTTGAGGTCTTAAACATTTCCTACTAAAGCAGCGGCTCAACCTGTAGAGCCTTTCCCAGGGGTCGCCCAATTCATAACGGTACCAAAATGACAGTGATGAAGTAGCAATGAAAATAATTTTATGGTGGGGGTCACCACCCCAAGAGGCACTGTATGAAAGGGTTTCGGCATGAGGAAGGCTGAGAACCCCTGTATAAGCCCCAAACCACTCACTGCATCCAGTCAACGCTGACGCATAGCGCCCCCCACCCACCAGAGCTACTGGTGGTTCTGAACTGCCGACCATGCAGATTGCAGCCCGACTCGGAAAACACATGACTGAAGAAGAGTTATTTGCTACAAGAGTGCATTAGCATGAAGATTACGGTATTTAAAAGTCCCATCACCAAAGTGAAAAAGCAAATGTAAAACCCAAGCATGTAATTTTGACATAGGTTAGGATGTCTTTTATATTTTAATGATTTCAGTGTCAAAGCAAGTGTAGTTTATAAACACATGGACTTTTATTAGAATGGGCATCAGTCTGTTCTTTAAGGTAAACATGAGGCAATGTGAATGAATGATTTATTGGGTAAAGACACGCCAGTCTCAGTAGGCAGAAAACGATTCAATCATACCAAGTGACCACCCGATCAGTCAGCAGGCATACGTTAGGTGTGATGCAGTATGGCCCCAGAAAGAGAAAAACTTCCCAATAGAAAGCACTTTTAAATTCAAAAAGCTTCAGCAACAATTTGGCCACTTTGGGCCCGAAGGGGAGGCAATTCTCCAAACAGTGGTCTGAGAGGCTCCTGGAAGTTTGTCATCTCTCTGAGCCGTGGTTTTTCAATAAGAACACGGGACGAGACCCGCCTTGCAGAGCCCTGGTGAGGATGAAGTGAGCCTCAGGCCCTCCGAGAAAGCACGTAACATAATTAAAAATCTGAAACCTTCCAGGAACTTTTATTTGAAGAAAAAAAACCCAGTAACTGTACCTTTAGTAACGACAGTTACCAGAGCAAGTTAATGGAATCAGTGATACTGACTAGACACTGTGAAGGACCCTGTCCGCATCGCACAGGGGAGGAACATCCCCGGGCGTAGGCAGTATAGACGGAAGCGATGGGCTTACAACCCAGGGTGTTTCTGCTGTTTTGTTTCGATGTTTCTTGGGATGACTAACTTCCAAATAAGCGGCATCTGATGAATAACGGAGCAGGTTGAGTGTCACAAACGGATTCTGAGCACCATCCAGTCACGGTGGGCTTTCGTGCGTCCAGTGCATAACTTGTGACTCACCTGGACCAAAGTGGGCAATGCTGCTTTGAAGCTTGTTTGAATCCACTGATGCCTAAAGGCACTGGTTACGAGGTCAAAACTTTGTAGCAATCCGTGTTCCAAAAGTTAACCCATTGAGACATGCTTGGAAAGATCTCAAACCTGGCCTGAAAGTTAAGTTCCGGACAACTTATGTAGCAACAGGTGGACCGTGTTAGCCTACCCTGAGGACAAGAATCATTATTTTGCTGATAAAAAATACTTTGAGAAACTGTGCAATCGGAATATCCAAGCAAAATCTTATTCCTACAGGAGAAATCCCAGTAGAGTAAGAAGTACGAAACCAGGAGGTTTGGAATGTCAAATTCTAACTGTGCCACTTCCCTAACGCGGCGGTCTTGGGGTCTCACAGAAATTGGACGCTGTGCACTTTGGAGATACCCATTCCTGTCCAGCCAAGGCCAGTGGGGAAGAATCTGCCTCCAGGGACAGGGAAGGCACTCGAAGCTCATCATCGTCCATCGCGTGCAGCTTCTCCTAACGATCGTGTGTATGAACATGCTGAGAGAATGGAGTCGTGCTCAATGCTTTCAGTAAGGTCCCACTGACATAAAAATAAAGGACACAAAAATACCATGTATGCATACAGCATACAACTAAAGGGACTCCGGAGAAGGAAGGGCAGGCAGACGATTTCTTCACCGCTCTGGTTAAGGACTTCCACACGGTTCTTCCCTGAAGACACTAAACAATGG